ATACTAGCAGCCTATGAAGAGATTATTGAGCAAAAATCATTAAACAAAAACGAATAAAATGCATCGATCACAAACGCATTGCGCAATTGAAGGCAGTAGAGTATCACGCTGGTCGATAATGTATAGGAATTATGGAAGCTATCGGGAGAAGATATATGAAATATTTATTCACGTTTCTCTTCTTCTTTACGTAGGGCATTCTGTAAACGTTAACACAAATAATTTAAATAAGAGAAATTAAATCTTATACTACAGATATAATATTCAACGCATGTTTTTTTCTTATTAGACGCTGCCATGCGTAATTTTTCTGAAAAATATAGTTCAAAATATTCAAAATATTGAAATAAACATGATATATATATTAATATTAAAGAATTATACCTCTGTACAATGTGTTTCTCTGTAAAGTAAGGAAAGTTATATATATGTCATAGCTAAATCCCAAAATCCATCGTTTTATAAAACTAAGCATTTTATAAAGTGCGGTCACATTCTCAAATCATGGTTGAAAATGAAATATTCTACAATCTGGCTAAGAATTTTAGTCTTTTTATAAAACGCTAACAAGCGACACGCATTGTCAAACACAACGATTTGTACATCGTTTTAGATTCTGGTTGGTTCATTTCAGTCATTTTATAAACGGCGCGTTTTTAGCGACCTTACTTTGTTACATTTGATAAAATAGTCATAATAAATGTGTTTTTTAAATTTCTTTTACGTTTATATTTCTTTTTATTATTTGTTTTCAAACATTATTTTCGAGAATTTTATTTATGTTACTTTTATAAAACCTTAATTGCAATAAATACAAGTATTCATAAACACAATAAGTAATAAATACAAATGTTCATACAAGCTTTTTCTTATTTAGAAATATACATAATTACCTATTATATTATAACATAATTACTTATTAATTTTCTATAAATGGCTGTTCTACAAAGATAGTTCATAAAATGACTGAAATGAACTAGCCAGAATCTAAAACGAAGTACAAATCGTTGCGTTTGACATTGTGGCGGATCGCTTGTTACCGTTTTATAAAAAGACAAATTCTTAGCCAGATTGTAAAATACTTCATTTTCAACTATGATTTGAGAATGTGGCCGCACTTTATAAAATGCCTAGACATTTTATAAAACGATGGATTATAATCTGGCTACGATATATAGTTTCAAATTTGATAATCAACTAAAGTAACTAAAAGTCTAGCTTTATTTATAATTTGCTTCTCAAAGCAGATTATAAAAAAAAGGATTATTTTAATATATATAAATTACATAATAATAGAAAAGGTATATATGATATGATAAACTTCACCTTATCCCTATATTGTGCCACACATATATTTCTATATATTTAGACCAATAATAAAACAAAAAAATATATATATTTTTAGAATTTTCTTAGAATTTTTATGCAGTGTATTTATATGCCATATAATACTTTGGTTTACTTATGACAGACACATTTTTATTATGTTATTTCATTTATTCGTTATATTTGGCACATTGTCGAAGAGATATTTCTAAAAATCAGATATATATCAAAGAACAAAAATTTGCCTTTCAAATTTAATTTTAAACACGTTTAGAAATATGTCATTGTATGTTAAGTCATTATTGCTCAACTTTCACATCTATACGTACAAACATAATGCAAAAATGTAAAATATTAATTTAAAAAAATATAAACTTGTGTAATTGTCACTATCAAAAGAAAATTTATTACATTATAATAAAGAGAAGTTGCTAATTTTCATTAATAATGAATGGTAGGACAGTGACAATGAGATGATAAAGGTGCAACCGTATTAATGTGATAGCAATAGTGTTTCACATTATTTTGAAATACTTTTTCTCTCATATAAATCATATCATAAATTGATAATATGAATATGTAAAACAAATTAATGTGAGAAACCAAAGATTTTAATCCTTATATATAGTATATATTTATATATTTGAAAACTGTGAATTTTCTATATTGTAAAATTAAAAGAATATGTTGGACTAGCTTACGAAAATATATCACGTTCTTTTATAGACTACAATAATTATCACGAAATGTGTTATCAGTCTTAATCACATTATAGCAAATCTTCCTTTTTCTAAAAAATTACATGTTTCAACTATATTAAGCCTTAATCTCATGTCAAGACAATGTATTGTTTCAATTATTCACGCCAAATTCTAAAACTATCCAAGATATGAAGGAGCATATTTGTGTTAGTATACCTTTGAGGTATATATAAATTTAGATAGCAATTTTTTTAATTATCGGAGCGATAATTGAATTCGATGTTAAATCATAAGCAGAATTCACTTTTTCCTAAATTTTATAAACAAAAATAAGTAAACTTATTGGAAATATGTAAACGGAGTTTAAGATAATTTGAGGAAAAATGGAGGAGAATATTGTGTGTGTGGTATGGGTGTGTGTAGTAAAGTGGGAGAATATTGTTTCCTCACTTGATTTCTGCGAAAAGCCTGAGGATTTGGCGCATATCCTATTGTTCCCTGCATTTTCATTGTGCGCAAAATTTCGGGATCTATTGCTGGAGTTTTCCTGTAAAAGAAAAAAAATTAATTCATCTATTTCTCTCCTCTAAAGAACGGGAGTCTATATAGTGCGCATGTACCTGTAAACCTTTTTTAAAAATTCTTCTGGCCAATCACTTAAAAGTGGTTGATCAGAATATACCATTGGTATTGTACTAAATGGTGTAACATCGTCATCAAAAGGAATCGATTGTACTGTTTCAATTGGATCGGCAAATTCTGTAGGTCTACATTAAGTAAAAAAAAAAAAATATTTAATAAATTATATAAAATTTTAATTCTTATTATTAATTATATATTTATTTTTTAATTATATATTATAATTGTATATATATAGTGATAATGTATAGTGATAGTATATAAATCATGTGTTAAATAATTTTAGAGTATATAGAAATAATTTATTTTATTCATCTTAGAATTTATATTAAAAATTTATTTAAAGAATAATTGTGTGCTAACCTAGAAAATGTATTAAATTGAGGTTCCGGATTGTTGGTAGACATTAAATGTATAGAACCCGCCGAATCTCCAAAGCAGAGACATTGAGATGTGGAAGCTACATCAAATGATAATATCGCCGCTCCGCCAGTGGCAACCTAATAATATATAATATATATTTCTGTATATGTTAATCTTTTTAAAAATTTATTCTTTGTATTTTTTTCTTATATCTTTTGAACATGTGTGACAAGAATTTACCTGATACAAACATGTCATTGATGGTTGTACATTGGCATATATTGTATCAAGTAGTTGCATTTGTCCAAGTGGCGACACTACTGCGAGACGACTGGAATAACTTGGTAGAAACTTCAATAAAAGGGGATACACCATAGTAGTGACTGGACTCAATGCTCTCATTTGTCTCAGATCATAAGCCATTAAAAATCGATCAACAGTAAGACCTTGCCGACTAAACGTGGAATATAATGCATAAATTATATTATATATCGTTTAAAGATTCTTTAATTCTTCTTCTTATGGCTCACCTGTTGCTGAACCCACAAGTAACAAGATAATTTCCCTGAACATCAAAATCACTTAGGGAACCACTATGTGTGTCCAGAGTATGTTCTACTGATAATGTATTTGGGTCCCTGAGATCTATCCGTCCTGCAGGATTACCAGCACAGATAAGTCTACTGTGTTGCCTCAATATCGCACAACCATTTTCTCCTACATCCACCTATAAGTATAAGATACAACATCACAGCAACTTGAAATTAATCTAACATCTAACTCTCTAACATATTCTTACTAATCCAGTCTCCTTTCCTCTAGTAAGATTAAAATCTATTATTTTATCCTGATGTCCACCCATGAGTAATCTGGTCGGAGAGATTTGCAACATACACTGCATGTCATTCATATTTGTTGACCTATAACAGCCTAGATTTACTTAAATCTGTGGATGGTATTGCTAATACAATATCAACATACGTGTGTGTAAATATAGGTATGCCTCGCCGCAGTTGACATCTCAATATACTCTGAGTCAACACTAATATCCCTTCATCTACAGGATGAATATGCCGTATCTCTTGAGTCGCATGGACTTGAAAAGAGGTATATTTTTGTAAACCAGGCCCATAATAAGATGTTACGTGGCCCTATAACAAATTAATGTCACTAAACATAATAAATATCTCAGATAAACATAGCCCCAGATTAATGATGTACCCCTTGATTCCCCATCCACATAAGCTCCTCAATTGTATCGAAAGTGGCAGTGGAAACTCCAAATCTATCTCCGCCATCAGCGAGCAATGCTCTAGTTTCATGAAACTCAGCCCCGGCAAAATCTTCTCCAAACTGCTCTGTTGCAGGTACATATTCATCCCCAGGTACGACATAATTACATTCCTCCCCTGGAATAAGAACCAGTTGAAAAGCCTATATCCTTGACATACTTTATCTCAGAAGAAACAAGTAGAAAAGTATTTTTGCGAATAATATTTATCTCTGCGCAAGATTGTTTCTAATTTATACGATATAAAAAAAAACCACATATAATATAACAATAAAATAGCAAACAATGTATCTACAATTTATTAGTTATGTTTCCATAACTTATAATCATTTTATAATCATAATGCCTTATTTTTAAATATTTTATGTATTTATTATAGAGTAAATAAAAATAAAATAAAAAAATGTATGATATATAAACATTTGTGCTTCGACAATATATTCATTTGGACTATATTGCCATTTTAAAAAAACGTCTGTTTTGCATCCATGACATTGAGCCTTCAGAGAACACAACAATTGTTCGCCGAATTCCCCGCATGACGGAGAAACAGCTGATGTCAGCTGATATATATCGCTACGATACTTCACATATGAGCGTTCGAAAGCAAACGAATGTCACGGAGGAGAAAAACAAAGGATGCGAAGAAACGAGAAAGATCGCAAGTGGAATAACGCGAGAGCAGAAATTTCAATGTCACTTCTCTTCCCCCAGACAGAAGCCACGAGGAAAGATGACGTTTTCTGGCGCCTTTTATTCGGCACGTAGGTGAAAAGAGCGCGAGCGACGCGCGGGAACGCACAATGATACAAAAGGAGACTTACACAGCAATTCCTGCTCCTCCTCGCCGCTACCATGGTCCGTGGCCTCTACGGTGGGATCGTAGTGGCCTAACACCGGGTAGTCCATAATAAATGGCTTCTATCTTCAGGCTACGTCGTTGCGAAGCATCGAGGCGTCCGGGCGACACGAGACTCGGCGTCCCGAAAACGATGATCGGTCCTTTATCATAACACACCACGTAACACACGCGCGTACACACAGTCACGCAACAGAGGGACACGCACCCGCACGCACGTTAGTCGCCTTGGCAACTGTGCAACAAGCGAAACACCTTGCGCACTTCTTTACCGCGGTCTGTCGAGCCGGAAATTTAACGAACGACCGCGTCATAACACGCGCGCTTTTTCACCGCGCTTCTTTGCACGCCGGGAAAACTGCGTCGAACACCGCGATCGCGATTTAATTCATGATCGCGCCTTTGTGCACGTTCCACGACCCACGACAAGGACACGTACGGCGGCCTTGAGCATCGCGACATCTGGAAATAGCGGGTGCGTGACTTTCCAGTAGAGCCACCAACGAGAAGTTGGCAGAACGCGCGCGCGCGCGTTTTGAACTGCACATACATATGGTGAATAAATAATTAAGAAATTATTAAACAATTACGTCCTATATTATCTTTATATGTAGCCCGATAATCTAATTTGAAGAGAACCGCAATACGATAAATATAAAGGAAACTTATTAAGAAATGTCTCTAATGTGTATATATTTTCTATTATATATCTATAGATTATACAATTATATAATATACATTTTAAAATTACAAGAACTTTACATTTTACAAAAAATGTTTTATTTATAAGCTGTGTGTAGAATTGTTAGTGTATTAGTTTAAAAATTATTGTTATACTATATCAATTCTTTCAAGTGAGAGAAAAATATATGGCACTGTTGATGTATGTATACAATTATATATAGGCATTGTACATACACAAATTGAACAAAAAATATTAAAAAGCAGATAATATTATTTCAAACATTTCTACAATATAAAAAAGTAAATGTTATAATACTATATCCAAGTGAGAGAAAAATATATGGCACTGTTGATGTATGTATACAATTATATATAGGCATTGTACATACACAAATTGAACAATTGAACAAA